TATATCTTGTTTTGCAATTTCTAATTACATGGAGGAGGAATATGTCACATTCGTTTCTTTGGTGTTTGTCAAGCATGAGAATATAGGCTAGAAAATTGATATCTTGATATCGATGACACTCCCAAAACATATGCGGCTGGTCAAGAAGTAAGTTTCAAATTAAAGCTGCTTAAAAATTACAAACACCCTCTACTTTCTTCGACGAACATAGAAAATGATATAAAAAGTTGGCTGCATTGCCTTCATCCAAATGTGTAAAAATCATTCCTGGAAAATGGTGTAATTTAATTGAAATAGTATATTATGAAACAAGTGTGGTAAACGGCATTTGACTCACGAGTTTATTTGACACGAGCGGAGCGCAGCGGAGCGAGTTTTTAATAAACGAGTGAGTCAAACAGTTTTTCTACTCCCGCCTGTAAAATACCTAATTACCCACCGATCTAGCGTGCGGAAAGCGTCACTTTACCACGTCAGTTTCGTTTCCCATGAATGCGAGCCACTTCGGACATTTCCGAGATTTTACCGCACGGATTTGGGAGCAGTCGGATGTTTTCGGAGATATTTCTCACGGTTTGAATTTTGACGTTTGTCAATTGTGACAGTCATGTCAGTAAATGTATTCGTATTGTTTTGCAAAAATGTACCCAAAAACTCACGGTCGTAGAAAAAGTACAGTAGGCAACACGTTCGGTAAACTTTTTAACTCACTCGTTTATTAAAAACTCGTGAGTCAAATGCCGTTTACCCCACTTGTTGCATAATATATTATTACCGAACGTGTTGCATACAAAATTTTTTCTACGACCGTTAGTTTTTGGGTCCATTTTCGCAAAACAACACTAATATATTCACTAACATGACCGTCAGAATTGACAAACGTCAAAATTCAAAGCGTGGGAAATATCTCCGAAGTGGCTCGGATTCATGGGAAACGAAACTGACGTGGTATAGTGACGCTTCCCGCACGCTAGATCGGTGGGTAATTAGGTATTTGACAGACGGGAGTAGAAAAAATATTTTACAAATAGTATTGTTAAGTAGTAACAATTAGATAAGGACGAATGCGAATGAAATGGAACTGAATCTAGGGTAGAATATATAAAAACGTAGAGTGCATTTTAACAAATTTTTAAAATGATAATATCAATACAATCCAATATATTCCAAATCCGTACTTGAATTAAATATTTGTGTTTCCTTTTTATCGCACATACAAAATAGAGGAGTGAGTGGGTCATTTTGAATTTTACTCACAACTGCGGCAAAAATATGTGGGATTAGGGTAGACGTCAGATTTGTATTACCGCGATATCCGTTCCGAGAAATCTCCCAATAACAATTTAAACATTAAATTGATGCAAACGGATTATGTCCGGGCGGCTCAAACGCGCAAAAGAAAAAAACGAGAAGGGAAAACGGTTTTACAAAGGGATTAAAACTTCTTTTAATACGCTCCCCGGAACGGAAAGCGCAAAAAAAGTTGAAGCGCACAAAACTGTTTCACTTTTTAACAAAGAACTTTGCAAAATATGTCTGGTCTTACTGTCGAGGATTATTATTTAAGGGATTAAACGGTGGTTTTGGGGTGGGAAAACTTTTGTTTCGCGCTCCTGAAAGTATCTTAACGAGGTAGAACCAATTCGACGATTAAGCGGATCCGCTTTCTATAAACTCAGTGCTTGAAGGGCGGAAAAAGTCCGGGTCATGCTGAAGTTCAAAAACAGCTCACATATCTCTTAAACGTGATATATGATTCAAATCTCATAAGATTGGCTCAAATCCACATTTATCACCATCCTAAAAACTGCGGAGCCTATAGCCTCGTAACCGTTCCTTCAAGTCATCCATTCTAGAATATACAGAAAGAGTGAGGAAATGAGTGGCGACACACAGTTTGGCTTTATCAATTGTCTTTGCACGAGAGAAGCTCTCTTCTCCTACTTCAGCAAGCAAGATGTTTTCATCTGCTTTATTGGGAGCAGTCCGCTGACACCCGCATTGATGGTGATAGGACAACGGACACGTTCAGCGTATTGAAGCGAGTTCCACAGGGTTGTGTTTAAGATCTATGTTGAAACAATCTTTCAGATGGATTTGGAGGGTGAGACACGAAGTATTAAAATAAAAATAATATCCGCCATGACACCTCAATTGTGGCTAAAATATAATAAACTAAACGAGTACGGTGAACAGTGGGCTCCATATCAACGTCGCGAAAACTAAAATGATGGTGCCCAGCAGACACCCATCTTAGCATTAATGAAGAGAATATCGCACGGGTCGTAAATTTTACTCATCTTGGCGCCTAAAAAGTATGGAGAATAATTAGCCGCGCAAAAACAACGTTATTTAGACTTAAGAATTTACTCCTGCATAGAAATATGCCGCTACACACCAGGATACGAGTAATTCAGTCGTATGTATGGCCGTTGATGTTGTATGGCGCTGATACTTGGTCACTTAAAGTAAAAACAATAAACATGCTTGAGGCATTCGAAATGTGGACACTCCGCCGATTGCTGCGCATACCCTGGATGGATCATGCAACAAACGATAAAGTTATAAGAACATCCTAGAGTAGAGAGTAGCAAAGCAGAGCATCATATCTAGAACATAAACCTGTGCTCTATAACCAGGTTGATACTGCAGGGGAAAGTCGACGGCCGAGGAAAACATAAAGAAAGACGAATGATCGCCAACGTGCGGTATAGCACATGGCACCCGGAAAAGAAGAAGAATTTGGTACATTTAAAGACGATTTAAGAAGAAAACTGATTATTACGCAGAAGCTATCTCAGTTTACCGTTTCTCTTTCTCCCGCTTATGTCGTTTGATAATTTGTTTTCCTATCCAGTCTATCATTCATTTATATGAATTATCAGATATACGTTCTACTTTCATACATATTCACTTAATTTTGTTCTCAATGACAACATTAAATTTTCGGGAGCTTCAAAACAATCTTTAATTCTTTTTAGCTCTTGCCCTCTCAAATGTTTCTTTTTGATATTAAAAAAAATCCTCACCAAAGATGAGCCACGTAGCTCAATTCTAAGTGGCCGCTATTTTTATTTTAGTTTCCCATTTAATTAACGTGGGAAAAATTTTTTTCCACTAAAATTAAATTTATATTGTTAAAGTTGAGTCTTGAAGCTTTCCAAAACTGTATAACAAAGTATGACTATCATTAGAAGAAGATTGATTACAGTTATTTAAAAATTACTAAATTTTAAACTCACTCTGCTACATCATTAACGAATTTTAAACTCTTCACAATTTTTTCACATTCATTGAAATCTGGATTTTTTCCCACCAATCTGGATAAACAACAAATAGACTATACGGCAATTGAAGTTGATCAAAAAGAAAAAGAGACTCTAATAAAATCACTTAGATCTTTTTCAACTAATGTATCCAGATCATCTGCCTTTACTTCTAATTTTATTTTGTTTCTGTTATCACATTTTTTTATACTTAATAGCGCTTACCATCATTATACGGTGTACTAACAACACCATAACAACAGAAGGAGCCTCAAACCAAGACTTGATGTAATAAATTACAATAAAAATAGAAATGACACACTAACACTATCAACATCTTTTTTTGATAGCAAAAATTGATTTTGGAAGATGAATATTTCATTCAAACTTTGACTCAAAACTAAAGACAATTTATAAATTAAAATTTGTAGAATACAGAACTTATTTGTAGAATCAATTATATTATAAGTACCTGTGTAATCGTTGTTTGGTTCTTCACCTAAATTTCAATTCATTAGAATCTCTGTCGAAACTTCTAAGTTTGCGGAAGTTAAAAAAATGCTATGTCGATTTGACGTTTTCCATTCTTCATTTAAACATTTAGACTGAGCTTCTGTTAAAGAATGTGCTGAGTTATGATTAGATATATCAAACAAATCCTCAAGGTGATTTTTAAATATATCTAGCCTTAATGTATATAACCTTAATCTTTTGTTTCTGAGTTTTCTTTTTTTTATTTTTTTTTTCAAAAGCTCCCACTCTCGATCAACTTTCATGATGTAAGTAATAGCGTGATATGGTTGACAGACGGGAATACCAATAGGTTTCCAAACTTTCATAACATCACGAATCGCTTCATCAAAACACTGTCGAATTGTGAGGTTAGAATCTGTATGCTTGTAGAAAAATAACTGTAAAACTTCTCTTATACTCGGTAATATGAAAAACCAACCAAATAAATTTTCTTTTCGTTTTAGTGATAATAATTGAAATAACAGAGAGCCTTAAGCAATGACAATACACAATAATTTCTAAATATATGTGTTGCAGACACTGATAATTTGACAACTCTACCTTATGGTCTAATAAAATTAGTGTTGCCACCTAAACTACCATTTTAAAATTTGAAATCCATGGAAATAAAACGCTATTAATTAGGATAAAAATTTTGAGAAATTATGTAGATAAAAAAATATTAGAAGCTATTTCTGAAAAGTTCAAAATTTAGTAATATTTAAATGGCTGTAATTAATCTTCCTTTGATGATAATCATACTTTGTTATACGGTTTTGGAAGGCTTAAAGACTCAACTTTAACAATATAAATTGTTTTTTGTGTAAAAAATCGCGAACATTATACGTAAATCCGATTTTAGTGAAAAAAGAAAATAGCCCGCAGGGCTCATCTTTGGTGGGGATTTTTTTTATATCAAAAGGAAACATTTGAGAGGGTAAGGGCTAAAGAAAAAAAATAAAAAAATTTTTGAAGCTCCCTGTTAAACATACTTAATTACTAATTTATTGGCATAAAGTTAGTTTTCTTTTCAAACGAATACCTGTGAAGCCCTTTGGAAATTAGCACTTTCTAATAAATAAGACCATAAACTTAACGTACCTAGATCGTTGTTGGTGACCCAAAGTAATTTTAATGGGACGCATAATATCTAACTTTATAATTTATAACGACACTCGCTGATCGTAAAGTGAGCTAAACGAGAGGAAAATTGTTACAAACCTTTCCGTTTTCGATGCTTTTGATGTCGTCGTCGCCGACCGGAAGTGTCGTGAGGGCGTTCTTCAGCCTCTGATTTCGGAAGATTATAAAGACGATGGCGGAGACGAGAATCAATATGATGACCGTAAGAATGCCAATAACGAAACCAATATAATGGTTCGGTTCGTCGACGTTTCCTGTTGATTTCGGTTTGCTCTTCTCAACGTTCCTGTTCGGAAATATAAAAAAGTTTCTTAAAAGATGAAAGGACATAAAGCGCAACTGTAAAATAATCTTAAAAGTGCTCGTGGCACCGATTTCTGACCGCGGTATTTGTTATATCTAAACAAGATGTTGATGTTTATGAATATTGTTACTATATGAGCCAAAGTTTTTTAGAAATTTTGCGGAGTATTATAAAATAATTTCAACGAGATAAGTTAAAAGTTTCCCATGAACTTGAAACTATTGGAGTAGCTTTTCGTTAGACATTTTTGAGCAAATGGAAATCGTAAAGTCCATAGAAAAGATTTATATCTGGTTGCATGTGTTGATAGGGATATTTTCCAAGGAAAATGAGAAAAACTTCAATGTATTCCAAACTTTATAATGAATCAATGGAAAAATGTTATTGAACTGATGAAAATCCACTTATCAAAATAAATAAGAAGCAAAAGTTCAGATTTTAACGAAATTATATATTTTGACGTGACAATTGTTTCGACAACACCGTGTCTTTATCAAATGTAATATTTACAAACTACCTGCTACTATATATAGTTCAATAAGGGAGAGGTATTTAAATCTAATTGATCGTTAAGCAATACATTAGAATGTCTCATTTTGTTAATCTCCATGGCTTCGAATAAATTTACTTTTCTGCTTTTTGTGGCTGTAAGTAAAATATCAAAATTTTCGTCAAAAATGTGTTTTTCTGTGTTTAAGTGTGTAGCATAATTAGAATCTAGACTATTGTTTTTAAACGCTCTTTTATGTTCGTTAATGCGTTTCTTGAAGGGTCTATTTTTTTTTTCGTTTTATTGTTTTTTCAATGTTTTCCTATTGTGTTGTTAGTTCTGAAAGCAATTTTTAAACCACATTTTGAAAAACGTTTTGAAACTTTTTCACTAGGTTCTCCGTTGTTCTAAATTGTTCGTGTTCTGTATTAGGTTTCGGATAAATAGAGTTTACTGTTGTCTATATTTGTTTTTTATTTATAATTTTATCTATAATGGACGGATTGTAGCCGTTGTTCAGTGAAATTTGTTTAGTGATATTAAGTTATTTGTTGTAATTTTCTGTTGAGAGTGGCGTATTAAGAAGTCTGTGTATAAAAGAGTTAAATGCAGCCATTTTGTGTGTATAAGGGTGATTTGAGCTGTTATGTATGATTGTGTCCGTGTGTGAAGGTTTATGATATATTGAAAAATCTAATTTGTTTTGCGCTTTCGTAATAGTTAAGTCTAAAAAATTAATAGAGTTATCCTGTTCAATTTCGATAGTGAATTTTATACGATTATGTAATGAGTTAATGTAATTTAAAAAAGAATTCAATTGCCTGTCCGTTCCAACAAAGCAAGCAAAGACATCATCCACGTATCTATACCACCATAAAAAACTTTTACTTGAAGGTTGTTCTAGTATGATATTTTACAAATTATCCATAAAAACTCGGCTAATTATAGATAAAATTATAAATAAAAAACAAATACAGACAACAGTAAACTCTATTTATCCGAAACCTAATACAGAACACGAACAATTTAAAACAATCACATACATAGGAGAACCTAGTGAAAAAGTTTCAAAACATTTGTCAAAATGTGGTTTAAAAACAGCTTTCAGAACTAATAAAACATTAGGAAAATATTTAAAAAACAATAAAACGAAATGTCCAAAATCCCAAAAATCAGGTGTCTACAGGTTGAAATGTGGATCTTGTCCTAAAATTTATATTGCACAAATTGGTAGATCCTTCAAGAAACACATTAACGAACATAAAAGAGCGTTTAAAAACAATAGTCTAGATTCTAATTATGCTACACACTTAAACACAGAAAAACACATTTTTGAAGACAATTTTATATTTTACATACAGCCACGAAAAGTAGAAAATTAAATTTATTGGAAGCAATGGAGATTAACAAAAGGAGACATTCAAATGTATTGCTTAACGATCAATTAGATTTAAATACCTCTCCTTTATTGAACTTAAATTCTCACAACAACATTAATTATTGTAGGTAGTTCGTAAATAATACATTTGATAAAGGCACAATATATAATTTCGTGAAAATCTGAACTTTTAGTTCTTATTTATATTGAAAAATGTTATCGCCAATAATGTGTGTAGAAATATTTATCAAGTTTTCCTAACATTTGGACCATTTTAAATCAGCGAATATATCTCTAACGTCTCAAAAGAATCCATTTTTGATCTCGCTTAATTTGGCATAGTTATTATGCAATTAATTAGGGCTACGAAATTCTGATTGGGGTGGCAAATCAGAATAGTGCTGCGTAATATTATCATTTGTTTTATATTCGGCAGCTTCAATATTTAATACAACAATGAGCAAATAAATGAAAACCCACCGCTGCTATAAATAGAGAACTATAACCTCAATAATTACAGAACATATGAGCACGCTGATTTGGTCAAGACTACGTCTTTTGTGGCGTCGTTGATAACATTTGAATAATTGTTTTCCAGATGTATTAAAGACGAAGTCACTGATTTAAACTTGCTTTTGCCTTTGCTTTGCTTGGACAATGTCTCTAACTAGTATATATGAACATACCTTGTTTCAAAGACGCAGAACATTCTCATCAATATCATAAACATTTTTTTGGGTTAGGTGTATTTTCAGGTTAGACTTTTTTTAATTATTGAAAACGAAACTCATTACAGTTCATTGTGATTATTTTTTTTTATAACTCCTTAAATTCAGCGGACGTAACAAAGCGCTCCCGATCGTGTCAAGTCATTTACCCGTTTCCGTTTTTGAAAAATGTAGTATGTAAATTATGGTGTTTTCTTTTTGTTTGCATGTTGTTGAGTTTGAGATTTAGATTTTTTCGAATGTATATCTTATTCAGTGCTTGTGTGTAGTGCTGCTGATTTAACAAGTGTTAATAAATTGGAAGCGTCTTTGTACTCTAACAGAACTGTTGTCTGTAAGGTAGGTTAAGAAATTTGTTTCTTTTTGCTGAATAAATAATAATTATTTATGGTCAAATTGATACAATTGTATGACTATATTAATAAAATGGGATAATATAATACTAATAATATATTTATTATTTTAACCACAAAAAACATACAGACAACCAGCAGAGTTGGTTGTAAATTGAAATAAAGTTTTTAAAAAAGGCAACGGTCGTCCCGAGTAGTTAATTGGCGCAGTCGTAGTAGCGCACCGCGTCGCGACGTCGATTTTTCGTATAATCGATTAATTGGAAATCGGACATATTGGTGATTAGTGTTTGACAGAGTGGATTTCAAAAAATCGAAAACCCCAGTCTATCGAAGACCTGTACAGAACACGATCATCGGAAACTAGAAACCATATCGTCTAGTTTCGCAAGGACAAGAATTTTTGTGAAGACTAATATCGCCGATCGAAGTCTTGTTCTTATAGAAGGGATGACCAAAACCGCCCCCTACCTAGTACTGTGAGTTGCAATTATTTGTTAATGTCGGAACTTGACGAAATAATTGATAATATTGAAACGTTAGCTATCGATTTAAGTAATAATACACCTTCACCCAGATCAGGTTAGAAAAATTATTTCGCAACAAATTTGGAAACTATTTTTGAAAAACATAATTTAGAATCAGACAGTCAATTTAGTGAATCTCTTATGAGTATGGCTACTTTTAAATCTGAATATCTCAACTGCGTCCCAGAATTCGATGGGAACCCAAACGATTTATCTAGGCTACTTAACTATTTGTCAAACTTTTATTGATAAATTTTACAATGTTAGAGAACCTAACTCTTTTGAAAATATTTACTTGTTGAATTCTCTAATTAGTAAATTGAAAGGAAATGCAAAAGTCGTGATCAATCTTCAAACATCCAGTACTTGGAATGATTTAAAAAATATTTTGTATAGAAATTTCGCGGACCAAAGAGACGAATCATGTCTTAACAGAGATTTATTGATGCTCCGCCAACAGCCAAATGAAAAACCGACTCAATTTTACGATCGAGTTTTGCATATCCTAAATTTGATTTGTTCATTTATTGATACGCATGAAACAACTAATGAAGATGTATGCAACCTGAGAGCCTGTCGAAAGCCTTAACATTTGTAATGCAAGAAAGTAACACGCAATATTTTCAAAATATGACCACAGTAGTTCAAAATCAGCCACCCCAGAATTTAAAACATAATAACCAGCATTTCCAAAATTTTCTTTCCAAAGAAAATATGCAATTTAATGGGCATAACCCAAATCATTTTAGACATCAGCAACAAGTAGTTCCCACCGGTCCAATTGATATTAGGCCAGTTTATAGACCCCCGCAAAAATACTATACAAATTCACAAGTTTTTGGCAGACCCCGGAATTATGCCAATAAAATTGGGAAATGCAAAATCAATCGAACACACTTACACTTTAATCCATTATTTTCATTCAAATCCAATAATATTGGAAACTAATAAATTATATTTAAAAAAGGAAAATGTCTCAAAAATAATATCCAGCCACCCGGGATATTACAATGATGGTCAAAATTATATTAAACTTCTAAACATTTTGGAATCTAGAATTGAAAATAAAATTATAGAAATCCTTCCGCATCAAAAAAGATCTAAGAGAGGGCTAATAAATCCACTCGGATCGGTTTTTAAGGCCATTACAGGAAATCTTGCCGCATCTGACGGCGAGCATTATGAACAGCTTATTAAAAACTTGCAGAGCAAAACCAAAATGAGTTAGCCGAAGGCATTCTAAAACAAAATTCTTTATCCCTTAACATTCTTATAAGATTTAACCAGACTTTGCAGAAAATGTGTCAAAATGACAAATACTTAGAGTCAAAGATCAATCAAATAGCTCTTATTGTTCAAAAGTCAACCTATAGGGAGATATTTTAGAAAATTCAATAACTTTCTCAAGTATAACTAAGTATAACTAAGATTAAAGACTTATTTAAAGAACTTCTTATTTTGCAAATCAAAGTTGGAAAATACCAAATGATTATACTTGTAACGTTAGAAAACACTTGTATTTTTGAGAAATTAATTACTATTGACTGTTTTATTCTGAATAATAAAATCAATTACCTTTTGAGAATACCAAACCAATCCTATAATTTTCGATTACTTTCATCTCTACTCAATCCCCATAAGACACAAGAGTTGGTTTAGGGTTGTTTTACCCCGTGCAAAATATTTCATAAAAAGTGAATTGCAACATGCATACTGTAATGGGCCCTGCAAGGCGGCTACTAAGGGTCTATTCGTCTGCACCCAACAAGAAATCAAGAATCACGATAACAGCAGTCCTTGAGAATTGGCCTTGTTGAGCACAAATCCACAAATCACAAATTGCCACAAAACACAACTCAAAATCACCCAGATAATAGTTAATCAACTAGAAAATTCCAAACAATGGATTTTAGTAGTCCCAGATGTACAGAGCGTTAAACTTAAATTCAACGCTCAGGATGAGATTCAGAATCTTCATGGGACATACCAAGCCAAAATTCCAAGAGGATGCCTCGCCAAAATTGATCATCACACAATAATTAGTGATGTCAGATCAATCAACCTTAGTACTCAGCCAATATTATTTCGTAATCTGCCAGATATTCCAACACAACAAAGCCAGATGGATTTAACTGTCAAATTAAATGAAGTTAAGCTAGATGAACTAAACCTTTTAAGGAATGAAATTTAGTTAAATTACCCACTCCTGAAGTTCTCGGAATTTTACAAATATCCGAGCATATGGATCATCCTTGTATACATGATCATAATCAGTTTGTGTCTATTTATTTGCTATAGAAGATTGTTACAGAAAAGATGCACCAAATCCAGCAAGAAACAGCAGCAAGAAGTCGAAGAACCTAAAGATCCAAAATGTGCTCAACTACCCCTCTTGACGGTATAGTTGAAGCTTACGGGGGAGGAGTTATCTCACTAGCGAAGATCCAAGAATGCTGACCCAGCAGAGTCCTATTTCTACATATAAAAACGTAGTTTAACGGTGTCGACGGGGAATTCTGTCTAGATATGTTATTGTAACAGACCATTTTAAACGGTTGTAAATTTGAATAAAGTTTTTAAAAAAGGCAACGGTCGTCCCGAGTAGTTAATTCATGGCTAGAATGGAATATTTCATTGCTCTTGTAAAATTTGTATTTTGTATTTTGTATATAGTATTTTTTAAAACTCGAAAATATGTCCCGTATGGCCCTTCTGACCAAACAAATGTTGTTGTACAGGTCAGGCGAATGATCCTACTCCAGGGTCAAACAACGAACGGATGAACACCCGGAGTACCAGCAATACACATAGTTCCATCCGTGAAGGACTAAAACAAAATATATATATATATATATATATATATATATATATATATATATATATATATATATATATATATATATATATATATATATATATATATATATATATATATATATATATATATATATATATATACTTTCATAGATTGCGGCATGAAGCTTAAACCGACTGCACCTATAATGCGAACCAGATATATTAGTCTAAGATAGGGATTGTGCATTTCGTGCATTTCGTGGGTGCGACATTTTCTTATTAAGTCGTGAAAACGCAAGGCATTTTACGTTTTTGCCGTTGGCAGTAGAGTTCAATCAAATTCTCAGCTTACTCGTCACATGGTTGCGGAATTTTAGTCTTGACAGTCTTGACGAATTGTTTCATGGATTATTTCTGTTATTTTCTGAAGTAGGTCACTAATTTGGTTACCTAAAATACTGTGACATTCTTGTGATACCAGCAGTGTTGTAGGCTTTTCCCTCTTTCTATTGAAATTAATAATTATAACTTTATAACTGTTTGCTTTTAATACGAAACCAATATCTCTGTGAAAGACGTACCTATTTGCGCAGTCAAAAGAAAAACTTCCAAATCGTGCAACGGAAATTATTTACTTTTAATAAAGTTTCCTGTTCGATATTTCTTTCGCCCGAACTTTTTTCTTCCGATTTATTTACGTCAAAATTAATACGCAACCAATCTCTCATCTCGCGAGGGCGCGGATAATGGCGGACGTAAACATCGTTATTGACGTGGCCGAATAAAATCTCAGAAAATACCTGGCGGTTCCTTTCGCGACGGCCTTGACTTCGTCCCGCTGCAAAGGATATTCCCTGCTGACCGAGTCCGGCACGGTAGCCATTTCCTCTTCCGAATCGGTAAAGTTGCCTGTGGCCACCGCTGCGTTCCGACAACAACGAAATATTAACTCGGGACGTGTTTATTTACGGCCTCCGGGCAGGAAGGAAACGTTTTCGTTTTTGAGGGAGGCTCTAATTTACGAATTGGTAATGTATTAAAACTCACTGGAATCAAAAGACACTTCGCTAATGAGGATCCACCTCGAGGCGAAATAAAGTTCGAGCTTGAGGAAACGTCCTATGCGGTGGTGCAGTTTGATGGTGACGTCTCGGGCGTGCTCCATCACCAGGTCTGGCATATAGGAAAAGTGTACTGCTTCGGGGCTGAACCTGTACCCGTTCAGGCTTACGAATGCCCTGGCTTGGGAAAAAACCTGGAACAAAGCTGGTTGTGACTACCAATGGTCGCATTCAGAGGACGTAGCAAAGCGCTCCCGATAATTAGCGGTAGCAATTGCTATTGGCAACGTGTTCGTGATTCACCGTTTCCGTTTTTGAAAAATGTTCAGGTTATGGTCTCTTATTTTTGTGTGGGTGTTGTTGATTTTGAGATTTAGATTTTTTCGAAGGTATATGTTATTCGGTATTTGATATAGTGCTACTGATTTAACAAGATTGCTTTCGAAAAATCGTTGTTCGTAGAGCCTAGCGCGAAACAGCTTTTTATTATAAAAGGAAACAACTTCGCGGTTTCGTGTGGTGAAGGGATGCAATGTTTTTCTATCGTGCTCCTGCGGACTACTATGAAACTTTGTGCAAACAACGGTGAATATTAAAATTTGCACAAATAATAGCGTTGTCGAATGATATTTTTTCAAATATCTCGCGTCCTGTATAATCGACGAAACCTGAATCTCTCTCTCGACGCAGTTTACGATACTGTTCAAAAGAAATTATCCCATCTTTAACGGTTTTTCATTTATCGGCAATAATTTACCCAGAAAAACGGAAATTTTTAGTATCTTATTGATTTTTTGCCATAAACGACACACCCTGTACATGATTCAAATAACGTTCGAAGCAGAGGTTATAGCCCTGGATCTTCTAGGTTTCCTGGTCCAAGAATTTTTTGAAAATAGTAAATAGTTTTCGAGAAAATAAGTTTTTTCTGAAACCATGCAGTGCGCCGTAATAATCAATGACGTCATCGCATCTTGACAGCTCCTGAAATAGCGATTTCAATATGGATTTTTTCAAATATCCCGGGCAGCGTATGTGACGAAAACAGCAAATACAAAAACTGTAGCTCTTGATGCGGCCTAGTATACTGTTTGAACCTATTAGCCATATTTTTTACGATTTTTGATTTGCTGGAAGCTAAAATTAGCAAAAAAATATTTTCAAAATTTTTTTAACAATAATTGGGAAAATTTGATTGCACCTAGTTTCTACCGTTTAAATATGGACACGCACCTTTACTTCTCTGCTAAATTTGAAGCACATTTAACACGGAATATCGGAAACACCCTGTACAATAGGTCAAAACCTTAAATACAATAGTTTTTGCTGTCTATACGGGCTATATCGCAATATAAAGAAAGTGAGATCTGATTCACAGTCTTTCAGTTATAAACAGTTATTTTCAATAATAGGGGGATCCATTTTTCAGTTTTTTTTTAATTTGCGGCGCACCCTGTATATTTGTGAAAAATTGTCAAGAATAAAAGTTTATGCGTCTTCTAGTTAAGAAATATTTTGGTCTCGTAAACTGTTTTTGAAAAATGATGTTTTTTGTAGACCCTTGCATTCGCGATTTTTAATTTTTTTAGAATACTTTCCGACCCCCCAACTTCACCAAATATGAGGTCGACTGCTTCAAATTTCAGACACTTATCATGTTTCGTAGCAATGTCCAAAAAACAGTCGAAAATCGCGAAAAAAAGATGGGTACCGGCGTCGGATCGGGGCCATTTCTTATAAGCTTATGTGCCTCGTGGAGGGTTCAAAAGGAGACGAATTTCAATTGTGTAGTTCCAACGGTTCGAAAGTTATTCAGGAAAAACCAAAAGACGAGATCAGAGAACGGACAGACAAAAAAAAATTTTTTTTTGACGCTGATCATTTCTGTAGCAAGGGCGATGCTATAGGACCTCCCGTTACCGAGATATAAAATTTGTATACTAGCGTAGATACTTTCGAAAAATTCGATTTCAAGTGGTAATAAAGTGGAAACGTATTTGTACTCTAGTACCTACTACATCAGAAATTAGTAGAAACGGACGTTATGGACATTTTAATTCAAAACGAAATGAAAGAGGATAACTTGGTTAGCAGGCTTTGGAATTAGCAGATCCAATTCGAATATTTGAGGATAATGAAGGTGGTAGGTGCCCAATAACAAAAAATCAGAAGTATTACGAAGACTAAAATGAGTGGCGAAGGGAACTTATTATTAGGCCTACATTTGTAAACTTATTATGAGAGGTGTATTTTAGAATTTACCACAACATTTTAGAAGAGGTGCTAGAGGAGGAGCTACCACATCTGAAAGTAGATATTGTAGATGAGGGTGCAAATGAGGAGAGCAACCAAATAGCCAATATGCTTTTATAACAAATAAAATGCGTTTTTTAATTATTGCTTATTTTGTTTTGCAATTCACATAATAAGTGGAAACATTTATTTCTTTCCTACTGGATTTTCTTAATTCTTTCAATGGCGTTTCGTAAGAGGTTAATTTCTAGTGCTTCTTCGATATTTGCCAGCCTTCTTCGTAGATAAAACACTACATTCTTTGACTCCCTAGTCTTGGTACTTCTAAAATGAAAACATATTATAAGCCTTTAATTAAACCAAAAATAAATTGGTGAAACTTAACCTACGGGTGCGGAGTCACTGGGATAGCGGGTGAATCTTTCTTATTTTCAGCAAGGGTTTTTTTTCCTTATGACAGGAACTGCTGTCGATGATAGGGAGGTTAACTATTTTCCCCTCCCTATAAATTTCATCAAACTGGTGATAATATTCCAACCCTTTCCAATTTTCCCTATATTGTCTTTGATGCCTGTATAGGTACTTTTCAGGTTTCTCCATTTCCTATCCAATATTTGTTTGGTTTAGTTAAAATGCATTCCGCCAATAATTTAAAATTACATATCTATTTCAAGTGAGTGTAATTTGCGTTTAAAAAAGATTACCGTTCGTTTGGTAAAAGACATACCTTGATATGATGTTCGAAAACTCGAGAAAACTTTCCCGTTGCAACCCCGAAAAAATTTTTTTGGTAAATTTTGTAAATACTAATAATAATATAAATAATAACAAATAAAATATAATCATTATGCTGAAATTTAATAGTCAACATCACTGTCCAATACACATTGCTCAAATTCACCTCTTTCAAGACCAAATTTTGTATTTGTAGTACCTGTGCCACCGGACGTTTCCGCTATTATTATCGATCTGTCTTTAGACATTATTTTATAATCTGAAACTTGGATTAACACAAATATTTCTAGTGTACCATGTAATAGTAAAAATTATAAATTGATGAGGTGTGATAGTGATGGTAGCAACAAAGTTCTTGATGATATAGTCTATTGATGATATCCTCTATAACAATATAGCGCTTGAACAAATGTTGTTGGTAGGAGGGTTTGTTTGAGAACCCTTTGCAAACCTCCTAAATTAAATCTGAAGGGCTGTCTTATTATTTATATTTTATATTTTGAGGTGACTTTCACGTTGATCTTCTTAGAGTGAATTGTAATGATGGTTCCGCTATTTTTAAAGTTTTTTGAGCAAATATGTTCTTTTTCAAAATATTCGGGAACATACCAGGGTCAGTACCTCCCCTAATATCATGATAGAGCCCTGGGTATTTAAGATGGGGTACACTGTAAATTGAAGATACCTAAATCTAAACCCAAATCATTTTGTAAAACCTACAAAGATTTTTCTAATTTTTGTTAAACATTTTCTGTTTGATTTAAATAATTTTAATTAGAATGAAATTTTTGAACTGACACTGATAAAATGGTGGAGTTTTTTAATACCAACTTAGTGGAGGTGTTCAGCTTGCAGGCTCCTCTAAAAACTGCGAAGATAGGTAGGAGAGGAAGGCTTTTTTGTAACACAAGTTTCTTACGGATCCAAAACATTTCTGCCATATATTTAGACAACTTAATGTTTACTCAAGATCTTCGCTAAATGTACCTAACTTCATTGATCCCGAAATCGTTTTACAAGCTCCGGATTATCTACTGTAATAAAGACATTCTGGACACTGCAATTATTTATCTCCCCAATTTCATACTGTACGGTACTTTACTGGACTGCCCTACTTCAAAAAGACAAGTTTAGTCTTCAGGGTCTTGAGAATGCCTGTCTCAGATTCTCATACAACTCTCGTAAATGTGATCACATATCTACTAGCCTAGAGAATTCTCGCTAGCCAACATTAGACGAACGTTTTAAATGGCTGCTTTTAGTCTTAATTAAAAATGTAAGATCTCTCCAACGTCCGACATATCTGTTTGACAAACTTACTCGTGCATCAGATGTTTATTCGGTTAATACTAGCCATAGGGGACTGTTTGCCATTTCCATACATACTTCGACACAGTTCCAGCGCAGTTTCACGTATAATGCTGTCAAGGCTTACAAAAAACTCCCTCTCCAACTGAGACTAGCAGTGTTAAAATTATTAAAAAGGTTTTTTTCACAATTTAAATATACCACTTTGAATGAATGCCTGTGTAATTTATATGCTATATTTTATTTTATAAATGGTGTCATATGTTCCTTTTACGAGTTGCATGAGAGCAACTAGTTATGTTATGTATTATTATAAAGGCCTTTTAATGTTATTATTATTATTGTTATTATCAATATTATTATTATTATTATTATTATTATTATTATACAGAAGGGACAAGTTCTGTCCGGTCACGATCTAGGATTGCAACTTCGAATTAACGAGACAATCATTTGAAATGTGGGTGTATCGACTGTTCGAAACTAGTCAATGCAACAAAAAAGTAACCCCCGAAAATACTTCTCATACTATTCATTCATTTGATCACGCATGGAAAAATTGCCAGTAAAGTTGGGGCAGGTAGAAGAACAACTTACTGGTCAAGGACCTGCGAGAATGGTATGGAACGACCAATGTTCAATTATTCTGTGCGCCAATTATTAATGATAGTAAATATGATCGTGAACATGATAGCCAATGATTGATAACGGTCATGACTCTACACTAGTCTACACCTTGATTTTAAAATTACGGAATGTTCAACTAAAAAAAACAAAATCATCCACATCATAAACATTTTATGGATTAAAAATGTTTTGAGGTTATACTTCACCTTCGTTCTAATTATTGACAAGGTTATCATATTTCAGTTCATTGTGATAATGTTTTTTTTTTATAATCGCATATATTTTAAGAATTTGATTACCCCAAGGAATGCATATGACGTCACGATTTGGCAAGAGTCCGTAGCATTTAGATGATTAGTACTCGTTTTGGTTGAACCTTTCAGTGTTGGAATCGGAAATCCAGTGGTGGGGGGAAGTAGCAAAGAAAAACTGCAGGCAATGGTGAGAATATCTGTTACTTCGCTGACCGAGCTGGCGTTAGAATCATTCTAGTGCCGAATATCTGCTGAATCACCTGTTATAGCCACACAATAAGAAATTCGGTCCAGCTCGGCCTAATTTTTGCAATCAAAATATTTTTGGCCCCTTTTGTGAATCTGATACTAATAAATAAATATCATATTAGTTTGCTCGCCTTTCAGCGGTACCAACTAGGAGATTACCAATAGGACATAAATTCGGATGTTTTTGAAGATATTCTTTTGACCTTCCGGAGCTATCGTTCACGATTTATTGAGAAAAGTCACTTAATCTTGCAGAAGACAAGAAATTATAGATTGTTTACCCAACAAATATATTGAATTTGAAGAAAATTTGATATTACACACCTCTCCTACCTTAATTAACCCTAAGTTGTGGACGTTGACATTCAAGGTCAGAGAGAATTGATACCTCGGTGGAAATTTGCCATTGGATGATACCCGGGATTATTTTGCACCGACACCATCATATATGAAATAGGAAAATATTATGGCCAGCGGGATCCCCAGATTTGATGCCTTTGTACAAACCTCGATAGGTTTTTATGTTGTTTTTGTTTAGTTTGCCTTTTAATTAATACATTGGCATTAAATATAAATGTAAAAATATCTACTAAGAAGGCGCTCATTCAATTTTTTTTTGTTGTGTGAGAAAAAATGTCGTTTCGCCGTATGTCACTTTCTTTTCGTCCTAAGTAAATTAACCCAAATCCTCATAAACCGCGTGCGAGCTCCCAAACTGTTGCACACATTCTAATCAATTAATCCTTCACGAACCGCCATTTTAAGACGGTCTTAAGCTTGAATCTTCCCCCCGTGTCGTTAAGGTTAAGCTCCCGCGTAATCTGGCGGGAATTTTCGAATTAGTTCGCCGCTTACCTGAACGTCTCTCGTGAACAAGTTGTTCGTGTAGAGGTGAGCGGCTGAGAAATTCCTCACTTTGTCGAACTCGAACAGCATCTCCAATGGGGAGCCGTCCGATCCTAGAGTGTCGTTGCGCCAACCGACCCACTCGTAACCTGAAGAAAAGAATCGACATAAAATCGCCGGAATTTTGGTGGGATATATATATAAAAGAAAACAAGTTTTTTAAACACAAAAATTGTAAAATAAGTAACAGGTCATGTTGAACTACAACTAAGTAAATATCGAGTAATTAAAATGCTTTATAAAGAACTGCAACATGACCTGCTAGGAGCCATCGAATTATTTACACGTTATGGAACCTTCTACAACTTTCACTTGTTTTGTTTTGTATTAGTTTAGTTGTTAACCGTATTTTATTTTATAAACTTTTTTCTTGGACAACAAAGTATACTTCAAGATAATAATAAGTCTTTTTTTAGTTTTCTTCTTATACAGTTTGGGTAAGGATAAAGATATTGAAATTGGTTTTCTTTAAGTTGTTGAGCCCATCCCGGAAGTTAAAAAAGTTTCATTTATTTCTCTGTTCACAATTATTTTTTTGAAATCGGAAACGAAGGAAGGTATTTCCCAAAATATATTTGAATTAGTCTCAACTTTGAAACACTGTTATAACCGTTAGTAGTAGAGAGCTTTTGAAAGCGGGTTTTACAAGATCCTCTGGTGACCATTTTACAAACTATAAAGTAATTTGTGAACGTAAAGAAAATGTTTTTAAAAAATGATGTCTTTTCATTGACTGGAACTACCTATCCTCCCTCTTGTGTTTTTTTTTCATTATAATTGAATTTTGGAGTGTTCGTTACTAAATATATATTAATTCGTGGTTTAATGAAATTCTTAAGTTATTTTCCAATTTTGAAAATTTTCTTATTTATAATTATTTCTATTAGTCACAAACTTGGAGTTTTCTGAAGATGGCTTAATAAAAGTCCGAAACGTCCTCATTGAAAACTAAATATTTATTTCTATTTTTGATACGTTTTTTTTAGAATTAAGAGAGGTTTAAGGTTTAAGATTTCGCCAATCATCATGTTGGCTCTGCCTGCTTGTATATTGTTTGAAGGGGGGGGGGGCAAAAGGACTGATTCCCATATTGGTCAAACATAAAGTCCTGAGTCGCGATTAAGATTGTTTGATTGCTTATCGTACATGTATGTTTAGGTTCGCAAGGACAGAGTAGAATACGAGCTAGTTTCAGTTAAGCCTCTGAAGAAGCCAGCAATATGATTGGCGAAACGTCAGCAAGTTAGATTCATCCACAACCGGCGCAGGAGAAATCCAGAAAATGTGTAAATAGTATTGCGGTAGCTTGTGTATTTCTTAATAAAAATTGTGTCCAGATCTGCCCAAAAACTAAAAAAAAATCGAAGTAGCTGCCGTTTTGCCAATTGGCTTCTTCAGAGCTTGACTGAAACTGGCTCGCATTTTACTCTGTACCTGCTTATATATTGTTTAAGGGGGGCGAAGCTAAATGAGGGGCATAAACACCGTTTAAGATTGTTATAGATTTCTATAGACTCTCGGGCTTTTCCTTGGTAGAAGAATTGATTACATGCAAGAATTTTAGTTTTATAGAATAAAATTTTATGTCCGGTTTCGCGATGGGTTTGTTTGTCTTAGTCGTAACGCTCTTTCGTGTTCTTTGAGTATAGTTGATATTTTTCGTCCGGTTTCTCTAATGTATTTTTTGCCGCATATGCCCTTCATTTAGCTCCGCCCGTGAAATAATATATAAGCAGGTACAGAGTAAAATGCGAGCCAGTTTCGGTCAAGCTCTGAACAAGCCAGCAGGATGATCGGCGAAACGTCAGCAAGTTCGACTCAGCAAAAACCGACGCAGGGGGAATCCAGAAGTTTTGTAAAAAGTATTACAGTAAGCCTGTTAAAGGTTCTTTGAAAAATTTCGAAATTATATTTATAAAACTTCATTCCAACAAAAAATTAAACAATACATTTATCACAATAGAGAGAGAAATTGTATATATGCATAGTGTTAATTTATTGTTTTTTATTTCTTCCTTTTCTGAATTCACTCTAACTCTAATTTAATTCTACCATTTTCAATGTTTAAAAGAAAACGGAACTTTTAGAAAAGAGTTTTGACCCTGAAACTTGAAACTGTTCCTTATGGACAGGAGAACAATTTACAAAATATCTTTATAATTTCGAAATTATAATTATAAAACGGCATAGCAAAGAAATGAAACGACATACTAATAAAAGTTGTATTATAGATTTCCTAAGTTATTATTATACATAACAGACCTAATTTTATTTATTTATATTTTATTCATTGTTCTTCAAAAGGCGTACATTAGCTATGCTATGGCAAGTATTAGAAGACAAAAAAATCCACTGATCTACATTAATGCAGTGAAGAAGTTATACAACGATATGACAAGTCGAATAAATATTAGGCAAAAAGTAACCAGAAAGATAAAGGTGACCACATGACCTCAACAATGCTGCTACATTGCACCTACACTCTTTAAGATCTATTTGGACATCGAAATCTGAAAAAGAAAATGTTAACCGATGGGTATTTCAATTGGGGATCATAAAATTTATAGCCTTCATTTTGCAGGTGAGCAAGTAATATTTGCAGAAGATATGCACTAAATGTAAATGAAGGACGACATTTAGAATTAACAGGCACACAAATTAGAAACGCTGATAGTAACAAATAGCTTGGTGTACTAATAACAAATGATGGCTATAATACAAAGGAAATAGCAACTAGAATTGCACAATGTAAAACAGCAATAAGCCAACTAAACAATATACTCTGGAATAACCACTTCACTCGGAACACAAAAATTAGAATATATAAAAGAATAATAAAAAAACATATGGAAATGAATTGTTGGCGCAGATGGTGAGAAATATTGAAATCAGAGAGCAAATGGGTATGGATATTCTGGAAACTATAAAATATAACAGGTTGAAATGGTATTGCCACGTCGAAAGGATGAATGATCAGCGATATCCAAAACGACCTTTGATCCCACCAATCGCTGGAAAAGAGGTAGCCCAAGGAAATCCTGGAAGCAAGAAGTAAACTTTCCAATTTCCAAACTTTTTTTACAAAAAGGTTTCACGTGACGTGCACTATGACCCATCAATCAGGCAAAGTGTCAGAACTATAATTTCCGGAACAAATTACGCGGATATGTGACGCTCTCTGTAAGTGATCTGTTATTTTCACAACAAAGAGGTCAAGTGCCGTAATACGTGTTGTGCGTTTATATTGTTTTTTAATTGATTTCTGTAGCGACGCTGTCAAATATAGTAATATTCGCTGTTAAATGAAGAGCAAAGACAACGCAAAAATGCAGGACAATCCTATAAAAATATAAATGGGAACGCTGCAGCTGAAAAAAAAAGACCTAACCTACAAGTGAGTCATTGTTTTAATTTCTAAAATGGAAGCGTCTACGTGACGCTAGGACGGTCCCAATTTTTATCTTATGCGCTGTAGGTTTGAATTCACAGGCTTGACGCAGTTGTTAGTATACTGTATTAGATACTCACCAAACTTTTTTTTAATATTGTGAACAATCCTACGGCGATCTCGAAGACAAATCGTTTTACTGTGTATATATTATTCAGTAAGTCCTAAAAAATATTCTTCTTTCTTGCAGATAGCATGTAAATGTAAATTTAACTGCAAGCCTTTCAACTACGAACAGAAAAATATTATGAGTGCAGGCCTGAAGTCTAGACCTAAAGAGAAGAAGTTATGGCTCGTACGAAGACCCTCGTGATAGTCACCGTCAATGTTTCACCCACTATAGCCTTCCAGACGGAGAGGGTAATGTTGTAGTTGAACCTAAATCTACTTTTATGAATACTTTAGATTTGACAAAAAAGCATTTGGAACCTATTATACGAAAGAAAAAAAGTGGCAAAGTCGTTTATAAAGACATGAGAACTCGTACAGCTCCTGGAAAAATTACGCAGGGTGATCAGCAACTTGTTAGAGAGCATATAAATAGTACAACCCGAGAAGAATCTCAATATTCAAGCGCAAAAAATGCAAAAGAATATTTAAGTCCAGATTTAAATGTCAAACCCCCTCATAAAGCGTTTTGGTTGGGTCACCTACAAGTTTTACAAAAAAGCGTTGGAAGAAGACTTACCAAATGTTTCATTTAGAGGACCTAGAAGTGACGCCTGTCGTAAATAAATTACGCTAAATTACGAAATAAAAACGCAGGGCGAAAGAAGTCGTTCAGCAAAGTTGAAGCTGGAGGTGCACGAGAAGTCAGAAGCAGCGTGTATGCTCATGAAAAGAGATCGCATCGTCGCAAGTGCCAGGAAACACCACTTTGACCCACTCTGACATGTTCTACATGAGCCAACTTTCATGATACAACTTAGAAATTAACTTTGGGGATGACAATTGGGTCTTTTTTATTACGCGTCCCCAATATGGGCATTACAGAAAAAAGGAATGCTGTTGTTTGGAACGATAACTGTATTGATCAAAATAAAAACAGAATGATTGTTTTTATTTATGTGTTTTTAGTGAGTTGTTCCGACGGTACTTACTGACTTACACAATGTAATACTGTCAAGTACACACACAGGCCGATTTGAGATAGAAGATATGACACAAAAAATTGTTTTTGATCTACAAGCGGCAGCTGACAATATACTAAATCTCAAACAAGTGAATATTAGCAAAGTCGTTCGAATGAAAATTGATTCCCAAAGACCTGGCTTTTTGTTTACGGCTGAATCTGTTTCTGAAGTAGCATGTTGGAAAGCCACATGGATACTTAAGGAAAGAAAAACCATGGAAGATATTAGAAATATCTCAGTTAGGCTGCTTACCAGACATGAATAATATCGGTGATAAAAAGAAAAGGCACCTAATATAAATGATTCCTTATCTAAAAGACCCTCAGCACCAAGAATTTTATTCTAATTTGACCAAATAATGTGTCGGCACTTGACCCGTTTCTTATTTTTCTTAAAGATTAAAAAAAAATTTTTAAAAATATTTTTCCATGTTTTTTTGTGTCGCAGCTTATTTACCCGTAAGCCAAACAATAATAATAGTTTTGGCACTTTGTTACTTCTACTCTTG